AGTTCCTCATCTGTAAAATGAGCTATAGAAAGAAATGTCAAACCACTCCAATATCTCTGCCAAGAAAACCCCAAATGGAGTTGGACATTTTACAGTTGAAGAGATTGAGTCAAACAGACGTTAAGTGACTTGCTCAGGGTCATACAACTATTAAGTGTCTAAAGTTGGATTTGTATTGAGGTCTTCCTAATTGAAGACCCAGCACTCTATCCACTGCACCACCCAGTTAAAAGTCCACTAAAATCCCCAGACTTTTTTTTTTCAGATGAACTACTATTTAATCATGCCTCTTGCAATTAGATGCCTGAATTTAGGGCTAGGTAGGGAAGGAAACTGGAGATGCTGAGCCCCTATGAGACACAAGGAAGAAGACCAGGAGAAGAGGGTTCTTGAAATCAGAACCCTGATCTACCAATAAGCTAAGAGCTATGAGGCTTTTTTGTGAAATATGTTGGCAATGACAAATGCTGGCTACCGTAATAGGCAAAAACAAAACAATCTCTTTCCTCAAAGACCTCATGTTCCTCTTGAAGGATACAGTATGTACACATGTAATGGATTTTTTTTTAACTTCTTTCCTCAATTCTTCATGCCAGAGAAGTGCAGCTTCCATATCCCACCTTTCCTAACCTAGATGTGGTGAGATGCAGCATATATATTATTATGCTGTAAGAAACTATGAATGTGAAGTGTACAAAGAAATGAGGGAAGATTTATTTGAATTGATGCAAAGTGAAGCAAGCAGAACCACAAAAAAAATACAGGACTAAAACATTGTAAATAGAAACAACAACAACAAAACAATCAAAACTGAATGCTGTTAAATTATGACCAAACCAGGCTCCCCCCAAAAACTATGAGAAGTTATCTCTTCCCATTTTTTTTTTTTTTGCAGATGTGGATGACTATGAGTGTGGATCACTGTATATGTAAGATGTGTTGTTTAGTTTTACTAAACTGTTTTCTTTTTCTCTTTTTCTCTTGCTCTTTGTTTTAAGGGATGGCTCTCTGGAAAGGGTAAGAGAGGGACAGATTAGAAAAAACAGAAGTAGGGGAAGGTAGGGAGGGAAAGAATTTAGAATTCAAAATTTTTAAAAAATGTTAAAATTTTTTACATGTAATTGGAAAAAAATTAAAAATAAAGATACAGAAGTAAAACAAAAAGTACCAATAAAATGTTTTTAAAATTAAAAATAAAGAAAATGTTTTGATGCTCGAGAAGGTTAGCTTACACTAGAGAAAAAAATTGAGATTAAAAATATTCAGACTGAAATAATATCATGTAAAGAATAATTGAAAGAGCTAGGTGTTTAGTTTGGAGAAAAAAAAGATTAAGGGGAGAAGAAATCATGATAGCTATCTTCAAAAATCCAAAAGATTATCAAGAAGAAGAAGATATTCTAGATAGTTCCAGAAGGCTGAACCAGATACAATAGGTAGATTACCAGGAGGCCTATTTGGGCTTAATATTAAAGGAAAAACTTTCTAATAATTTTGGCTGCTCAAAAATAGAATGTACCTACTTGTGAGATAGTGAATTATCTATAAGAGAATGCACTAGAATAGTGTACAACTCTGATCAATCAGGTGCTGCTTGAATGCTTTAGAAAAGATTACTGAGATAGAGAGATGGTTGGATACGGTGTCAAACTCAAACAGAAACTGGGGCTATCAACCTATTAATTGTTAATTAATTTATTAATATAATTTATTAATCTATTAACCTGTACATAAAGATCCCTAAAGGCTTCATATTAACTAAGAAAACCACATATTAACATTATCTATGTTTTATTGTATTTTTATTTCTTTTGTTAAATATTTCCCAATTATATTTTAATCTGGTTCAGGCCATACTTGGGAGTGTTGCAGGCCACAATACTGTCAAAGGACACTATATTTGAACCCTGTCAACCAAGGGACCTATAAAGTCCATTTTTATTCAATGAATTTATGATCTTATTGACAAATAATTAGCCCAAGCAACCTAAATGTAAGAGATATCATAAATATTTCCTTTGCTAATTGTTCTTCCCTTCTTTGGACTATAACCAGTGACCTATGCATAAACATTCATATATATGTAGATATTTGTACACTGAAACAAAACCCTGATTATCTAGCAGCCAGAAATCTATCTAAGGAAACAGACTTAGGTTAGTTTAAGGTTCCTTTGAATTAGAAAATTCCATGATTTTAAGTTTCTGGTACATTGGTAAACATGGAAATCAAAGAAGACTTAAAAAGCTCACAATATTGGCAACACGACTCACCTTCTTTTAGAGCTCAAAAGGAAAATAGCTGAAGGTAACAAGCAGGGTGAGTGGTCACTGATTCCAAAATAGGAGAAAATGTCTTGAATATTGCTGAAAAGTTATGCTGATAATCATAATTAATAATAGCTAGCATTTATAAGCAGCACTTTAAAGCTTGTAAGCTGCTTTACAAATATTATCTCATTTTATTCTCTAAAGAGCCTTGAGAAGTAGGTGCTATTATTTCCCCCATGTTATGTTTTGGATGAGGATACTGAGGCAGACAGCAGCCAAGTGACTTGCTCAAGGTCACAAGTGTCTGAGGCCTGATTTGGGCTCATGTCTTTCTGATTCCATGTCCAATGCTCTATCCATTGTGCCACCTAGCTACAAATAGCTGTCATTTACATTATGTTTAAAGGTTTATAAAGCACTTGACATGTATTTTTTCATTTAATACTTGCATGGCATGCTGTGGGTCACACAGTCAATATGTGGCAGAAATGGGACTTGAACTCAGATCTTCCTAACCCCTAGGTCAACTCTTATCCACATTGCTTCTCACATTAAAGTGAGATAAAGAAAGTGAAGATGATTTTATTGAAAGAAGACAATTAAGGAGTCTAAATTGACCTGTTTCTATGACAGCATTGTCTTAATTACATAGGCAGTGGTCAAATTAACCTCTTACTAAACATAATTTTCCTATGAGCAAAGACAAGGAAGTGGATTGAAAAAAAATCAGAATTTCCCAGCAAGGCAGCCTCATCTCTTTGCAAGATACTATTGGGAGAAAAGGACAGGAAGGGAAGGAGGTGAAGCCCACCCACACATTACTTAATCTAGCTATAAGTTAAATCCCAGAGATAGACTATGTCCTAGACTATTCTAAAAGCCCCCATTAGAAGATTATTCAAGGTCAAAAAATATTAATTAAATTCCACCATTTTTATTCTTACATGGAAATAAAAATGGAGGGAGGTAGGGTAGAAATCACTAATCACTATGCAATCATAAAAATAGAGCCTACTTTAAAGTATGGACTTTTTTAAAGTCTTAAACAGGTTATTCAGGTTAATCTCCTTCCCTCAGCAAGGATCCTCCCCTGTTTTAAATGTAATTGTTATTATATTTAGTGAATGTACCCGTATTAATTAACATGTTGGGAAACTGCCAATTTACACATTTTAAGGTGACCTGCTATCATGAATGTGTGAGAACAAGCTTTGAGCACAATTAATAAATGATATTGATGGTACCAGGGAAAGTCCACTTCAAATGCACATACAATCTTCATATTTAAAGAAATTTAAATTGCATTTTTTCCTTTGATTTATTTGAAACAAATGTTTATGTATAAATCATGAATATTTAAATAACAAGCTCATCTTTTTTAAGTTCACACACAATTACAGATGTTACATTTCACGTGGATGTTATATTATTTTAAATTCTAAATGGGAATATACTAAACTGTAGCAATTTTTATGAATGTATGGTCACTTTCATAGAGTTATGAGTTGGCAATGGTGAATGTTTAAAACAGCTCTCACCCCAGGAAGTCCTGGGATGCTGTATTTGTATGCTCCTTTTTCTAAATGCATATTCAATGTCTCCTCAGGTTTTATCTGAATTGATACTTTCAATGTGCTTAGCATCTTTAAATCAAAACACAAGTTTAAAATAATAATCACTAAGAATGGTTCTGGATTCTTGTTGTACATCTCCAGTATCTCCTCTGGCTCTGGTCTTCTATACAACAGGTTGTAAATATTTTCAGCAATTATGCATTCCACATTCAAAGCAATAAGGATAACAATAAACGCCTTTCCCTTTAACAGCAATAACAAAACCCTTTCTATTGTTCTTGTTTGTATATATGAATAAATGTGTTGATAGAGGTTTGTATGTCTGAATGTATATCTGTTGTCAGAGGTTACTATTTTTATAGTAAAATATGTATTTGAAAATACATATTTGGTGGCTTCAATTATTTTTGTGGCTAACACTATAACTTTCTTGTTCTTGTTCATAAATTTTTATTCTTCACAAAACGACTATGTTGTAGAACCATCAGTGGTTAAAAAATGAACAAGTGATAATTACACATAAGTACTCATACCATCATTTTCCTTCCTTACCATTAAGAGAATTACAAACTCACAGAAAGAATGGTGACTTTCACCTTTTCAGATTAACGTGCCAGTTAGTTAAGGAAGTTCAAAAGGAGAGAAGTGAAAATCTTAAAAATCCTTAAACTACAGTCTGGGCTAAGCTAATGCAATGAAGTTAATAGGCGACAAAGTGATGGCTTGGATGGATCCTTGATCGCATCGGTGTGAAAGCTTCCTACACCAATATAGATCACAGCGGCTTCCTGACTTCTCAGCCAGTGTGACAAGATTAGACAAAGTAAAACTAGGCAAGAGCATTTCAAATGAAAAACCAGTCTAAAGAAAATTAATTCCATGAGGCTGGGCAGCCCGCTGAGAGCACTTTCCATTCCTGGGCTCCACCCCACTCCCAAACAATTATTTTCTCTGCAGCAATCAGCGCTTCCACTCAGAATTGATAACTGCAAGGTACCAGAACAACCACAAAAAACCCACAGCACCTGCTCCCATCTCCTCCTAGGCTTACACTCCATTTAGCTGTTCTGCATGTCTTTGAAATAGCCCTCCAACATCAGTGCTCCAAGTCTTCATTACTTCGTCAGCACCCATTGGGGAGGTTCAGATACCGTACCTGGACATCGGCGCTGCTCAGTCAGAAGATACTCCTCCTTGTCGGACTCCCAGGCCTGGAAGCGTCATTCATCGCAGCATCTGCTCCTCTCCTTCCCCGTCATCATCTCCTTGTACAACCTCGCACACAGATTCCGTCAAGAATTCGAAGTTAGCAACCCATCAGTGCGAAGCGCTTCATTCCTCTTCCCCACCGTTCCCTCTGGACTGAAGGCTGTTGCAAAGCAGCTTCAGGTTCCCAGGGTAGTTTTCCTGCGGTGCTGAGGCAGCGGCGGCTGCTCTCTTTGCCTCAGGCAGAGGGAGCAGGAGCAGCCGCGACGGTGGCGGCAGCAGTTGCAGCACGGGCACCGCCCGCCTACCCCAGCGCTGGCCACACCAGCTTGGACAACTGGGGGGAGCTCAGGCGCGCTGAAGGATGTGGCTCGCCCCCTGGGCCCCTTGGCCGCGGAAGCTTTGGCAGGTGCCGGTCTGCGCGCGCGTGATGCAGCCTGGACCACTGTTACCAGGACAACGCGCACGCCGCGCCTCTCCCTCCTCCCTCCCTCCCCCTTAAGCACACGCCCAGTCATAGATGCACTGTCTCAAACCCCAGAAAAACGGATGCAACACACCTGAAGGCGTGCACTGTCCTGCACAATAGCTGCTATCATCTCCAGCTCTGGTAGAAATCATCAACCATCAAACCAATACTATAATTGCTTCTGGAAAAGGTGTTTCTGATGAAAAATGCTATCCAGCTCCAGAAAGAGAACTGATGAACTCTGAATGCAGACTGAAGTACATTTTTCTCACTTTATTTTTCTTGCAGTGTGTGTGTGTGTGTGAGATGGCTAATATGAAAATACATTTTGCCTGATTTTCTATGTACAGTTGACATATTGCTTGCCTTCTTAGTGGGTGAGGAAAGGGTTACATTACAGGGAGGAAGAGAATTTGGAACTCAAATTTTTACAAAACTGTTAAAAATAAATAATAATTTTTATTTTTTATTAATTTATTTTAATTTATCAACAATCACTTCCATAAGCTTTTGAGTTTTAAATTTTTCTCCCCTTCCCTTCCCACCTCCCTCCCCAAGACAAATCTGATATAGGCTATACATATACATTCCTATTAAATTTTCACATTAGTGATGTTGTAAGAAAGAATTAGAACCAATAGGAGGAACCACAAGAAAGAGAAAACAAAACAAAACAGAAGAAAAAAAGTAGTAAATAGTATGCTTCAATCTGCATTCAAACTCCATAGTTCTTTCTTTGGATGTGGATAGCATTTTCCATCATGAGGCCTTTGGAGATGACTTAGATTCTTGCATTGCTGAGAAGGGCTAAGTCTATCAATGTTAGTCATCACATAATATGGCTGTTACTGTGTACAATCTTCTCCTGGTTCTGCTCACTTCACCTAGCGTCAGACCATACAAGTCCTTCCAGGTTTTTCTGAAGTCTGCCTGCTCATTATTTCTTATAGCACAATAGTATTCCATTACATTCATATACCACAACTTGTTCAGCCATTCCCCAATCGAGGGGCATCCAAAAATTGAATTTAAAAAAATAATAGGGAGCAGCTAGGTGGTGCAGTGGAAAGAGTACCGGCCCTGGAATCAGGAGGACCTGAGTTCAAATCCAGTCTCAGACACTTGACACTTACTAGCTGTGTGACCCTGGGCAAGTCACTTGACCCCATCTCCCAGCCAAAAATAAATAAATAATATAAAAAGATTTTAAATAATTTTAAAAAGAAAGACAAGGTGTGTCAAATGGCTGTTCTATGGTTCAACCCACCATCCCTGTGACTCCTCAGACCAAAACTCCCTTCCCTGGCCACCATTCCTCTCTGTACTGTCTTTCTATTTGAATCTAATAAGCTCCTTGAGGGCAGTTTTTGTTTTGTTTTGTTTTTGCTTCAGTATTCCTAGCAGCTGAGCACTGTGCTTGTCATCTAATAAGCAGGTAAATATTTTCATTCATTCATACACACACAAAACACACAGATATTTAACACAAACACACAACCATCCTAAAAATGGAAGCACACACACATAATACACACAAGGTATTAGGCAGGCAGGGGTGGCGGGAACACTTGCTCTGGAGCTTGTATGTGAGTGGGGAAGTGGGAGGGGGGCAGGGGATTAAATGGGCTGAGGAGAAGGAAGCTGGTAGCCTCTCCTG